GGTAGTGGTAGTGGTAGCGGTAGCAGTAGCATCAGCAGCAGCAGTTGTAGAAGTGGAGGGAGTGGACCCCTGGGCGCCAAGCGCTAGACAAAGTCCCCCACAGACCGCAGACCCGAAAGAAAGTCTCTGCTGAACTCCGGCTTAGCAGGTGTTTGGGGTGTAGCTCCAACCTGAACCCCCAAAGCCCCCGTCAATCCTAACCCCGGACCCTGACCTCAAGATCAAGACCCCTCGAAAGAAAGCCGCAGGAGGCATGGTGGGTCGATAGGGCGAAGACTTCCTTCGATGTGTCCCTGACATACGAGTGCCTCGGAAGGGAGGTTTGCCGGATCTTGCATAGAGGTTTGGATACGTTTTAAAGATCTCCACTGGGCACTCAACCGAAGCCCAAAACCTGAAACGCCAGGCCGAGCCAAGCCAAGCCGCACCAAAGCCGAGCGCGAACCGATGAAAAAAAGACCCTCCGTCCGAGTTCTCACCCTTCACCATCCTAGACCCTAACCTACGCAAGGGTTTCTGAAAATTCGGGGCCGTTTCCGAGCACCATCATATTAAGTATCCTACTCTTCAGGATCTTCATTGGGGTCCTCTGTTTGCTGAAACTCGCATGGGCTGTCCAGAGGAGGTGGCTTGTTCCGTGGTAACTTAAGTTGAGCTACTTACCCATAACTACATCTGATGGGGCAGGGTTGGAACCACCCAAAGGTGTCACAGGCGTGGAGTTTGGGGGTCGGAGCTTCAGAGCTTTGCCTTGGTTGAGCTTTGCAAGGCACTTCCCGTTCGACACGCAGCACTTGGAGCGCTCTCGGCCGCAGTTGGTAGGCCCGGTCGGTGTGACGGGCGACGCCCAAACTCGGAATCCTGCAAGCGAAATCCGGCGCAAAAATCTCAAGTGTTTTGGGTTTGGGTTCACAGGGCCCAAAACCGAGGGCTCGTTCGATGATTGGCTCGTGAAACTCCAGTGAGGCTTCCTAAGTTCCAAAAAAATTCGAGACGCAAAGACTCTCGGCCCTAAGACCCAAACCCGAAGCCCCCAAGCCCGAAGTCCGACATCCCCGACCCGAAGCCCTGGATTCTGAGCCCGGCCCTGAGTGAAGATGGGCATCCCAACTCCTGCCGCATGGAGCATGTTCTGTCGAAATAGGCCCTGGCGGAAGAAGGAGTCAAACAACAATGCCTGAGCCCCAAGCCTCAAGCTCAAGGCTGTGCATTCCCTTTGACTACTTCTCCGACCCCTACGTGCAGGAAACACTGGAAGGCCGGCATGGCTTTAGAATGCTGCTCCCTCTCCCACTCCCACCAATCTCACCCAAGCCCAGATCCGGTACTCCCACTCCCAGTAGCCAATCCAACTCCTCCTCCTCCTCCTCCTACTCATACTCCTTCTACTGTTCTCCTTCTCCTTGTCCTTCTCCACTCCTACACTGCTCCGACTCCTTCTCCCATTTAATTTTGCTACTTCTCACTTCATACGACTACCACTACTAGTGCTACTACGACCACGACGACTACTACTACCACTACTACTAGTACTCGTTCCCGTACTGGTACGAGTACGAGTAATGCGACGACGACGACTACCACTACTACTGCCCCTGCTGCTGCTGCGGCTGCTGCTGCTGCTACCACTACTACTGCTACTCTTGCTGCTGCTGCTACTACTACTGCTACCACTAATTACTGCTGCTACTGCTACTACTGCTACTACTGCTACTACTGCTACTGCTGCTGCTACGGC